GTGGAGCCGCTGAGATAGTGTTAAACTCGTCACAAGTATACGGCTCCTACTTGTGACCGTTCGTGCGAGTGGATTCCTCTCTCAATGTGGTTCTCCCTGAGGTTTCTCACTTTTTTCCCCACTGGGTTTTAGAGTTTTTCCAAAAAGGACTGTGGTGATGATCCAGGACACTCAACATTCAAATGTTTTTTTTTTTTTATATACTTTATTTTTTAGTTTTTGCCTTTACAGTTGCAGGAGAATGTCTTAAAAAACAAAAAACCTCACAAGGCAACATTTATAATGCAAAGAAAGGATTACATAAAATAAAAAGTAAAAAGATTTAAAAAATTTCAACATTCAACATTTATGGACATTGGTCAACTCTCTCTATGTACCAATACCTATGCTCTCTATTCTTTGTGTTCAGTTTGATTCGCTGACCTGTGTTGTCGAATTCAATAATTTGTTAAGTCCTTCGAGATGACTACCTTTGTGATTTAGGGCTATACAAGAATAAACTGAATTGAAACGATCGTTGTGTTAGTCTTGGAGGTCTAAGGGGCTGATGGCTGTTGGTCTGCTCCAAGGCAGTTGTAGCTAAAAGTGTTATAAAGATAGATAGATATAAACTTTATTGATCCCCCATCGGAGAAATTCAGGTGTCCAGCAGCAGAAGACTCATCCAGGTCTGTTGTAAAGTCTGACAGCCGCAGGATCAAAGGATCTCTTGAGTATATACAGTAGGTCAGATGTTTTATTATTATAACTTGTCAAATACTTTTCTCAAAGACAACAGCAGTGAGTGGACACCATTCTGTTGGTGGGTAAATTGTCAACCCATGTATTCAAATATCGGTTTGCATAAAAACCTGAAAAATAGTTATCTAAGCAACTTTTATTCAGGGTTGTAAAACCTGACCTTCACCACTAATACATTTCTGTCTTTTGCTTTAAATTATCTTCCTAGGACCCAGGAGGCACATTCCGGATCATTATTCCTAAAATGTCTCCTCGGTCCAGTTCAGCGCACAGGTTACAACTATGGCCATTACCTTTTGTGACATTGTGACCGCAAAGAAATATCTAAAATGCCAATATCATCCCTGTTCCGGCTTTAGATTTACTCACAGTTTGTTGTGCCTAGCTCCTGAGACAACGCACTCGGAGGAAATGTGGGTAGTGATAAAAGCCAACAGACAGTATGAGAATTTAATCAGCAATGTGCCACAAGGGACGCCCCCAACCGGCTTTGTTTCCTTAAACATAAAAACAGGAGGAGGGATGTTTGTTACACATAGGGATCTGAGAGGAGCTGTGTAAAGCTCTCAACCTTTTTTTTCCAGACGGTACGTGCCTTTTGGCTAACTACAAGTCAGGTTTAGGTAGAAAAATATCCCGTAACATCTACCTGAGGCTGTTACTTTCACTGTTGAGGATATAGCAGAAGCAAGAGGTCGCTGCACAATATAGTTTTCATGTCTTCATCTTTTATAGCTGCAATATGGTGGCTGCAATTTCTTTTTTGTGACCCTCTGCAGTGGTTTTCCAACTGGTTTGCAAACACTGGTGCCTGCTGTGAGGATATAGACAGTTGTCCTTGCTTAACGTACTGTCGTTGCAAATTCCTAAAGTCTATGTAAACTCTCAAATGTTGTGCATGTGTTGTTTGATGCTTATGAAGGTTTCTGATCTCTTTAGCTGCTTTGGCAAAACCCAAGGGCATTTATGAATGAAGCAATTAAAAACATCTCACAACAGATAAAAACATTATGTTTACCTTCTTTGTGGGAGAAATCAAGCAGAGCCTTGTGAAGGGCTTTCTGTCTCCAAATGAAAGATAAATACGAGCCATTCATCTCACAAATCCAGTCTTGTAGAATTACATTTTAGAACTATTTCTAATCTTGTGTTGCCCAAAATCACATCAGCAGGCATCTCAAAGGGAGTCATGGAATAGTCGAATTGCCAATAGTGCATTAGAAAATCCAAAATTGGAGCTATAGTCCCTTATGGTCGCCAAGGGTAGTGATCCAGGTTGGGGAGATTGGGTTGGGTTGAGATAAAGTGACCATAGTGAAAATGTATATTTAATTTGTTTTATTACCCAGTTTAAAACCATAATTCATTAAAAGAAAAACATGAAGCTATAATAACTGGAAGGAAACAGTACTTGAACACACCTTCCTTCATGCTGCTGTCAGACTGTACAACAAACAATAAGGACTCATGAACACTGCCAACTTGATTCCATATGTCATTCTCGCATCGCTGCAATATCCTTATCTTATACCAGAATGTGCAATATACAGCTGCCAATACGTACAGATGTATACATACTGCTGCAAATGTACAGATGTAAACATACTGCTGCTAATGTACAGATGTAAACATACTGCTGCCAGTGTACCGATGTAAACATACTGCTGCAAATGTACAGATGTAAACATACTGCTGCTAATGTACAGATGTAAACATACTGCTGCCAGTGTACCGATGTAAACATACTGCTGCTAATGTACAGATGTATACATACTGCTGCAAATGTACAGATGTAAACATACTGCTGCTAATGTACAGATGTAAACATACTGCTGCTAATGTACAGATGTATACATACTGCTGCAAATGTACAGATGTAAACATACTGTTGCTAATGTACAGATGTAAACATACTGCTGCCAGTGTACCGATGTAAACATACTGCTGCTAATGTACAGATGTAAACATACTGCTGCTAATGTACAGATGTATACATACTGCTGCAAATGTACAGATGTAAACATACTGCTGCTAATGTACAGATGTAAACATACTGCTGCTAATGTACAGATGTAAACATACTGCTGCCAGTGTACCGATGTAAACATACTGCTGCTATTGTACAGATGTATACATACTGCTGCAAATGTACAGATGTAAACATACTGCTGCTAATGTACAGATGTAAACATACTGCTGCTAATGTACAGATGTATACATACTGCTGCAAATGTACAGATGTAAACATACTGCTGCTAGTGTACCGATGTAAACATACTGCTGCTAATGTACAGATGTATACATACTGCTGCTAATGTACAGTTGTAAACATACTGCTGCTAATGTACAGATGTAAACATACTGCTGCCAGTGTACCGATGTAAACATACTGCTGCTAATGTACAGTTGTAAACATACTGCTGCTAATGTACAGATGTAAACATACTCCTGCTAATGTACAGATGTAAACATACTGCTGCTAATGTACAGATGTAAACATACTGCTGCTAATGTACAGTTGTAAACATATAACTACACTTTACTTGCTCTAGAATACACAGTACTTTATACGTGCCTCTTATTTTGCCAAATTTTATTCTAATCTATTATTATTATTTTCAAGATAGAGATTTTATTATACTTTTATTGATGCTTGAGTTAGAGATTTTGTTTTATTTTATTTAGTATAGCTATTAGAGCTGAAACAACTAATCGATTTAATCGATTAAAATCGATTATTAAAATAGTTGTCAACTAATTTAGTCATCGATTAGTTGCTAAATAACTTTTATTTTGCCGTAAGCGGCTCATTTCGTGCATATTTTAACTCTGCGGTGACCAAATGGTGGCAGTAATGAGCCACCGGAGGTTTTACAGCAGGAGAAGTAGCGAATAGCCAATAGCTGGCCTCCTTTTATGTCACATGCTTCGCGCACAGCTTCTCTTCAGCATACAGCAAGATGGCGGAGGCAAGCGGAGTAAGCTCGAGAAAAAAAAGGAAAAAAGCAGAAGACAAACCTAATCAACGAAGTCATCCAAAGTGTGGGAGCACTTTACTTTGAACCTTCAAAAAAGAAGAGTAACCTGTAAACTCTGCGCTACTGACTTGGCCTGGCACGGGAGTACTACGTCTCTGCGTGAGCACCTTAAACCATCTCTCTGCAGTACTGACTGTTTGCAAAAGATGGCGCCACACTCACTGTTTTAGGCATAAAGTTGATCTTTCAAATAATTTGCACAAAGATGTAAAAAAAAAAAAACATTTATCAGTTTATCAACTTAAATAAGCCTTGTTCGGGATTTTAAACTACTTCAGAAGCCCTAAGGATTTTCATGGTGAAAACATTATTGGAAATCTCCTTGTGAAATTTGCTAGAGTATGTAACGGTCAGTGTTTTGTTTTGATGGTCAACATTGAGTTCACTAAAGGATTACAAAGACATAATAAACAGCTCCAGTTAAGTTTTTGATGTGGATATGAATATGTAAAATGGTTAAAATCTCTAAAAAGTCTATGTTGAATGATGAAGGCCCTTTGTTAACAATTTACTTGGAAAAAAATTGGCAAAACTAAAATATAAGTACATAAACCGATTAATCGATTAATCGTAAAAATAATCGCCTGATTAATCGATTATCTAAATAATCGTTAGTTGCAGCCCTAATAGCTATTGTTCACTTAACGTGTGCTGTGTGCTCCTCTTTCCCACTGTTCAATAACTTGTGATGCAACACCGAAATTTCCCCACTGTGGGACAAAGAAAGGATCTCTTAATCTTAATCTTAGTACTGGACTGGTACAGGACACCCCCATTATAATTACTCTCCTCAGCTTTTCTAAACTCTGAAACTCTGTGGTGCAGCTATACTTAATGCTTTTATGTTGAAAATTGTCTTTATGCCTCGGTCTGATTGTTTTGTGTTGTGTCAAGTGTATGGTTTATCCGAAGTAACCAGAGAATTAAGACTCCAGGAGCAATGTCAATGAAGTTTGCCAAGGATCAACGTTATAGCCAACCAATCTGCGGCCATTGGCTCATTAGGCTCATGCTCAAGGTTAGGATTTGGGTTTGGGTGATCATTGTTAAAGATGATGGACTTTTAAGTACTTGGTGATATGAAGTTGTGCCTTGTATATCAAAACTATTCAAAAAAGAGCCTCTGTAAAACCGTCTTCCTGTTTCCAGTACATGCTCAAAATAAGTTCTTGCTTTTTGCACTTTTCAAAGCCGGTAACTCCCCTCATTTGTCCGTTGCAGGCTACGGCATCGGTGTTCCCCAAGGCTCCCCTCTTACCCGCAACGTGTCGGAGTTCGTGAGCCGCTACAAGTCGGACGGCTTCATGGACATGCTCCACGACAAATGGTATAAGGTCGTGCCCTGTGGAAAGAGAGTGTTTGCTGTAACGGAGGTAAGCCAGACGAGAGAGAGAGGCCGCGTTTACCTTTGTTGTTTTCTGTGTCTGGGACGTGCATTGTGTGCCAAACCCAAGCTGTGGCATGTCCGTAAATGAGCGTCTACCTCAGGGACAATGGCTGAATTGGCTGTCCCCCACACACACAAGTGACCAGAGAGAGGAGCACTCGAAGATCGCATCGCTCCCGGGTCTATTTACAGACCTTAACCAGAGATACAGACACTTAGAGCTGACTGGAGAAGACACTTATTTGTGCGGCAGCAAAGTACTCACAGTTCTCAGCCCTTTCCTGTTTGCACCTCTTTAGAAAAGTTGAAGTCTCAAGATGGCATCGTCTTTTATCCATTGCTTTCATTCAAGTCACTTCCTGGATAACTTCAAGCCTTCACTTTAAAGGTGCACGGTGTAACTTTGTGCCTTTTCTGGTGGGTTTCTGCTTTTAGGGGAAGCTAAACTATTGGCTACATGAAAACTATGCACAAGCAGTAGACATTTTGACTTTTTTCAGGCCGAGGAGAGCAATTGTGTGTTTGGGTGCTATCCAGTGGAAACTCAAAATGATTGAATGTTTTGAGATTTTCAAACCTCTATATTGGTCTAAATATGTATATGTATGGTAATCTCCCAGTCACCACTGCTCCACTATAGCAAAATCCAAACCAACCATTGCTTTCAGTTTCAGTGCTAGATAGTCTACCAGAAACTCTTTTTTTAGCCTCGCTTTGACTCTGTACAAAACCCTAATTTTACAGTCTGTTGCTATATACTGTAGATCTGCAAATGACAACCCCTTAATCCTATACTTTATAATAACCAGGCAAACCTCAAATGCATTAGTTTCTCATGAGTTTATCATGAGTTCACGAATGATTCCTGACTTCTTGATTCTCGAGATCATGGTTAATTATGATCACGGTGCAGTTAGCTTGAATAAATAACACTGCTTTGTGATGGGTTAATGGTTAGTTATGATGATGATGAGTCATGATACTTGTTGATGAGTCTTGTTTTTGGTTTTCATCAAGACTATGATGAGTTTATTATGAGTATTTGTTCACTGTGGACAAAACTCATGAATAAAGCATAAGCTCATCATGATTTCATAATGAATGAATGTTAGATGAATTAAGTTATTATAATGCGTTACAGATTTGGTTTCACTTGTGGCTCCTTCTGAGAAAATGACAAGCCCAAACTCGGCCAGCAGGACCTACAGTGCGTGTTTAAATGCACTGGACACACTTATAGATTGTAGCTCTGGCCTCTGGATTGGGAGCAAAACGGGGTCAACATTGTCACTGATGAATTTGTCGAGTCAGCATGAGGCTAATTGCCATTTGCGGCGATGCAGGAACAAGTGGAAGTGATATTGGAGAACCAGGGACGAGACTTTTCCCTCTTCTGCCCCAGGACGAAAACAGAGCCATAGATATACCCCCTGTCAGATGAGATGGGGAGACTCAAATGGGAACAAACTGCTCTTCAATTAAACATCACATCCTGTCCCCTTCTGCTGCCTCTGTGTGGGTTCAGACCGTGCACTTCTAGACCACTCTCCATTCTTACATTATTACACTGTACAATTTCTGCAATGCAACGGTCTGTTCTTTGGTAAAGGCATTGATTTGTTAAAACAGTACTGATGAGACATGATTGTTCTCCATTAGCTTAAAATTGTACAGACTCAAGGGTTATTGCTTTTACCTTTTAGCGGGATTTCGCAGGAATGATAGGAAATGAAGACAGAATAACACTTAATTGCATGCATACATGATGGAAAGCATTATTTTCTAAAGTGGGCTTTTAAATGTCAAGATTATCCAAGTGAATTTACACGTGTTTCTTATAAACAGCCAAATGATCTTGTCGTTCTAGCAACAGTGTGTAACATTATGGAAATATAAAGTTAAAACCATACAAGGGAGCATTCTCTTCTGTTTGGTGGGATGTGCTGTGTGACCTCGCAGCCCTGAGAGTCAGAATGTGGTGCGAGTATAGTTTATGACTGCCAGACCACCGCAGTCTGACGCTGTCTCCTGGTGATTTAATGGCTGTTCTTGTATTAAACTCTGTGAACCCTCATAGATTTGGGCAAATCCACATCACTGTGACCAAAGACAGTGTTTACAGGAGACCGCAATCAGTCTCACCTAAGTTGAACTGCATAAATCTATATACTGTGGGAGATTTTAGCTTTCTGTTTCTTGGCTAGAAAATCACATTTCAGGATATCATTGAGGGCGTTTGCAAAGTATGATAATACAGAGTACGTTCTAAAACCGTACTGTTAGGTGTGATTATCAAATTCTTCTCACAACTTTGCCTTATGACTCAAACTGTTTGTGTATAATAATGCTTTCATACATACAATATATGCACACGGTCAGCAAATATACTCACATAACATTTTGATTTGTTGACTCTTTCTCACCAATGGCAACACAAGCTATTGGATTCATTCAGATGCTTATGGGACTACGGAACAAAAAAACAATAATGATAATAGTCGTTAGTCATCGCATCAGTTTTATATAGCTCACATAAGACGCTTCACATGTTACTATTAATTCACTCCATACACGGTGGTGATGAAAAACTACTGTAGCCACAGCTGCCCTGGGACACACTGACAAAAGCCATCGGCCCCTCCGATTACCAACAACCATTCGTACACACATCAGACTCATTCTGGAGCAACAACTCTTGTTCCTTCGTTGACCCATGTTCATTTTAAAGTTGCCTTAACTGCAGGGCCAACGAAACGCAGATCCCTCACATCATGGTGGGAGTCATTAAAGTGTGCTGCCACTGCGTACTCTCTGTCATTTCTGTGGATTGTACTTTTGTGTTCGCTAATTCGTTGTTTAAAATGTTCTAGTCTTTTTGCAGAGATATGCTACTTTTTGCCTGTAAAGTTAGGAATTGTTGCTGGACTTATCACAGACCCTGAGCGGTCAGAAGGTCACCTGTGCTTACCAGTTCGCCATACTTGCTGTTCCGAGAGATCTCAGGTGGATGTGACGGAAGAGGATTCACCTTCACCTTGAGGGCACAGGCATAAATCCAACACCTGTGGATTTCCATGAACAGCAGCGGAGCTTGGAGCAGCACAGTCAGGAACGTGACCTGAGAGATTTTCAGAGCCGTGACTCTTTCCAGTTAGAAGTCTGAATGAAATCTTTAACGGAGAGTCTCTTTCCTCCGGGCCCTCCTACAACGGGATCTCAGAAGCAGAGTTCAGGCCTCAGCATCTTCCCGACACTGGCTCCAAAGACTTTCCGTACAACATTTTTCAAAGCACAATCATTTTCAAAGAAATCTATGGCAAATGTTTAGCCTCATCATGGGTTTTCAACATTATTTTACTGCGTTTCCAGTTGTTCGGCTGAATCTAACTTCCTCTGTACCTAACACCTCTTTTTTCATGGTGTATGAGCTTACACTATAGACCAACACCAGAATACAAACTGCAAATTGTCCGTCGTAGCTGGTAATTATGTAAATTCAAATAATCCATCTCTGCATTTCCCAGTCTGTCAGCCTCTGTCGCAACTAATCACTGTCACAAACCCCACACACACGCTCCACTCCCTACTATGGAATTCTACATAAGTTTCATTATTTTTAGGTTGGACCCACCCATCGCTAATTAAACCCACAATATAAAGTAGTGATTATCAGTAATTATTTTTGTCAAACACTACGTCAAACATCCCCATAAACGCATTGGTAGTCTAATTGGAATTGTATTGATGTATTACAAGCAATGATATTATAACAAGGGGGCGACATTGGCTTAGTTGGTAGAGTATTGGGACAAGTGGGTTCGAGCCCACCACGAGACCTGTCTGCTGTCGTTGTGTCCTTGGGCAAGACACTTAACCTTTACCCGAATCCTCTGCTGAAAGATCAAGACTGCTCAGACCGGAAGAGCTGTCCTCCTGTGGAATCAATACCTGCAGGAGGATCGGTGAGGGGCTGATTTCCACCAGACACAGACCCAGGACTGGATTAAGGGGAAGAAGACTGATGCATGGATGGATATTCAAACAATTATGTCAAAACCCTGAACCCCTTTAAACTATTATCACATTTTCCTCTTAGTTTAGTGGTTTATTTTAACATCAAAAGTCCCTTGGAATCTTGTTTCTCGGTAACCTGTCCTAAGCCAGTGGGATGGTTCAAAAAGTATTGAATGCCAAAAAGTTCTGCTGTCTTTTTGTCATTTTTGAAAACAAGGAATCCAGTCATGCTAGTCTGTCTAGTCTGGTATAGTTCTGACCCATATAGTATCCCCTCCATAATTCTATGTTTACAAAGATAAATGGGCAGAGATCTAGGAAATTCAGCTGAGTATGTACTGTATTGCTGCCTAATGTTAAGTACTCACTGGACTATTAAGTCCACCTGTATATACTGTACATGCTCTAAATGTCTAAAATGCATGTATTGTCTTATTATTTGACAATTTCACTGTTTTACCTATTTATTTATATTTTACTTGTCCACTTTTCATTTTGTCCGGAACTGATTTTTACATTAGTATCTATACTTGAACTTAAATACACTGGGGTAGTCTTACATCTTTTTTTTTTTCAATGTGGTTTTACTGCAAATGGCAAATAAATTCTTGAATCTTGAATCTCAGACAATAAAATGTGTATGTGAAGTTGGTGTACCCCTGTTCTAACCAACCCCTCCTCTGTCCCAGACCCTGCAGATGGGCATTCAGCACTTCTCGGGCCTGTTCGTGCTGCTGTGTATGGGCGTGGGCGGGGCCTTGCTGACCTTGGCGGGGGAACACACCTTCTATCACCTGATCCTTCCTCGTCTGCGGCGGGCCAACACGCTGCAGTACTGGCTGCACACGAGCCAGGTGAGGCAAACATGTGTAGCAGGAGGACTCCAGGGAGCTCCTGTTAATGACTGCAATCTGTCCAACGCATGTACTCACAGGCAGGCACAGGGGCATGCTGGGAGACTGTGCTGGGCTGGGGATATGTGCTAGACTCAGCTGTGGGCAGGGTACGTCCTCTACTGGCCAGATCATGTAACTACAAGTCCTAATGCTTCAATTTCAGAGAAGCATTAGAATGATGGTGTAATTATACGCTTATGAAATATGCTTTGATGATGGGAATGGAATGGAAACAGCCTAATTTCTCAGTTTAAACCAAATGCAAATTATATATAAGTTTCTTCTTGCTCTTTTTTTAAGTCTGGAGAGTTTTTATAATGTATTATTAAATAAACATAACAGAATAAATTGAGGCAATGTCACCTTCTGGTTTTAACTTCCTGTCCACATAAAAAAAAAACTATTCTGTTTTTCCAACCTTATATTTTTTTACCTAATTTATCTCAGTTTTATATATACTTGTGTGATTATTTTTTTTTTTTTTCAAAACTGAAATTTTACTCTCCAAGCCATACAGCTTTACAGCCTGTGCCGTGGCAATGCCATCTGTTTCTAAGTTGTGCAGATTTGAAACTTTTATGGACTAAACTTAACTGGGCCAGAGGCATCAATAATTCATCTGAGAGGGAAAGACAAAATGCCCAAATCTTGCACTTAATGTCAGTAGCATTTGTGATTAGCAATGCTGGCTACGCCTTCCTTAACACGCACAGGAATCGGTCATGATTTTATTTCTTCAAACATGTTTTATGACAAAGTGACGCAGAGATTGTGTAAAGGCAGTGTTCCTGGTGTAAAATTTGTTTTGTCAGTGATTATTGGCTTCAACACCTGGACTCAACTCCCGCTCAGACAATCATCTTTTGGAAAAATAATGATTGGTTTCAGCCCGCCATTTGCGTTGGCCCTCAGCTTTTGAATTGGCACAAATTACAATAATCGTCTTGAATCAAAACAAGGATAATGTCGAGGTAATGCAGAGAGATGTGTTAACCTGTTTGGTGGCTTGTCTATCTCATGTTTATCTTTTTAATGTCAATCATTATTAGACGCACAAGGATTTTAGTTATGCTTGACGTCAAAAACAGAACCCAGTGAAAGGAAACAAGCTGATGAATGCCAGAACAGGCTCTGGGCTTCTTTATGTGAAACTACATTAGATCACATCATGTTGCTGGGACGTTCCCTCATACGTTTTTTTGTGGAAAAATGCACCGATATAAATATTTGATGTGACGGTTTAATTAACTTGGCCGATAGACAGTGGACAATTCGAGGTCCCTCATCTGAATGTCATATTTTATTAAACTCTTGCCAATATTAATTGGGCCGCCTTTGGCAATGTTCGAGTCAAGATTGAAAGTGGATATCAAGGCTGCTGACATTTTTCTTTGCCACATTTTTCTCAAAGGAGGAAGACCGTGATGCAGCCCAGGGATTCACCCTCCACACTAACTTATATCATAAGAATAAACATTTAGTCATGATCATTTTAAAAGGATTTGTTTTTAAATAGTTATATGTTGAAATCTTTGGTGATGATGATAGATAGAAAGTCGAAAGTCCTATCATGAGTTCAAAGATATTAAAGTCATTGAAATTGTGCCATAATTGTTTTTTATGATAATCTTTTATTACAGAAAATCCACCGGGCGCTGCACACCACATATGAGGACGTGGGGAAAGAGCTAACAGGCTTTGAGGAAAAGTAAGACCGATTTTTTTCAATTTGACATGTCTCTTGTGTGTCCTTTTAGCTGCATAAGTGCCTCCAACCTTTTCTTCAAAGTGGTTACATTTAGCAACATTGAAATTGTCTTACCTTGAAACAAGACAATCGTAAACTCTCTAGACCGAAATACTTCAAGCATGCAGCCATTTTTCTGAGAACGGCCATTAAAGGGACATTTAGTTCTCAATAATAAATGGGTCAATGGTTCAGATTCACTGGAGAGAAATTCACAGAGATGATATAAATTCTGGTAATATTCCAATATAGTTAGGGTGAAATTAACTGCAATATATTCGAAAAGCATAAAAAAAGTCTATGAGCCAAATTATACAATCTGTGGAACAACATTGTGGCCAGATGGTTGTGCTGACCTAAACATGGCAAAACAAATATGAATATATCAAAAGTCTACATTATTAACACTACCACTATTTTATCTGTAAATATTTGAAAATAAAAATGCAAATATACATGTTAAATACTCCCACATGAGCAGTGTATCTACTAGGGGTGTGACGATATATCGAAATATCGATACTTTCTCCATTCCATTTATCATGAAATAAAGTGTATTTTTAATTTTATTTATGCCATAAATTGGCATATTGTATATTTCTGACCATTATATCGAATCGTCATATCGTGATAAAATCGTTATCGTGAGCTTTGTATCGTATCGTATCGTGAGGTACCCTTAGGTTCCCACCCCTAGTATCTACATGAAACAAGCTATTGTGTTGTTCATAAAATAACATCCCATTTGTCGTTGCTCTGTTGTAGGAATGGGAATCTCTCAGTCTCTCACAATAACCCTAAGCCCTAACAATACTGTATGCTGAGACTATGTAGATACTATCACTTTGTGGCGATACTGCGATTGTTTATATATTGGTCATATACTATATCATGTGTCAACAATATATCAATATATGTCCCATCCAAAGGTTTGTTTATCGCCCGTTTATCGCTATGTCCCCATAACTTCATTGTTATCTGGCTTCTCAGGTGTGTAGTCTACCTCCAACGTGTACAGAGTGTCATGTAAAAAATAGTGTCAAGTAAAGCACCTTTGAATGGACAAAAAAGTGCTATAGAAAAAATGTACATAATATATTTAGAAAGCATGTCAGTGTGGAAGTGCAAGTTTGTCATTTGTCATCTACTGTTGAAAGTAATTAGATACTCACAGAGCTAATTGAATATTTTCTTTCTTTCTTTCAGACCCTCTTCTTGCATCTCTGAGAACTGCACGTTGCATCGGAAGCAGCACCACCAGGCCCCGCCCCCTTCTCCCCCGACGTCACTTCCTGCTTCGCTCACAGGGATCGACACAGGCGCCTCCTCCTCGCCGTCCCAGGACCACAAGGAGAAGCGCGTTCACTTTGACCTGGAAACACTGCACAGCTACCGCCTTCGCACACACACGGCCTCGGTCCGTGGGCGCCCGGGCATGGTGGGGCGTCCCGGGCTGGGCTTGGGCATGGGTGGCCTTGGCTTGGGGAGCTTGACTGGATTTGGATCGCCTGGTCACATGAGCCTTCACGTTAACGGAGGACCTCCATCGGTTTTGGCGTCCACTGGTTTGGTCCTGTCCCCACTGGGAAGTAGGCCAGGCCAGACCAGTCTATGGGAAGGGGAGCTCCAGGAATTGCAAGGGAAAATTGAAACTTACCGAACCCAATTACGGGAAGCTTTGGCACGCAGAGCGGAGATCCAGAGCAGCATTGAACGAGAAAGGAGTGGATTTGTGCGACGGGATACGAGTTTGGAAAGACAGAGGATACAAACTATAAACACGGACAGGAGTAGCTCAGTCCAGCCTAAGATTCCTGAACGGGACAGGACGAGCCAACTCCAGACTTTGAACAATCAGCAGGTGGGAAGAGCTAACCAATCAGGAGCGAGTTTAGACTTGAATAACAGTTTGGAAAGAGGGCGGTCCATTGAGACACGATCATTCAATTTGCTCACAGGAGAGAGGACTGTCCAATCGCGCAATTCCGCCAGTTTGGAAAGGAACCGCGGAAATCAACAGGGAACAGTCCAATCACGAAACACTTCCAGCCTGGACAGGCAGAAGGTCAACCTTACACGGGCTCTGGACACTAATCCAGCCACTGTGAACCGGACCTGAGGAGGGGCAGGACAGAGGAGACAGCTGTGGGAAGCACGTCTTGAGGAGATGTCATTAAAAAGGTTTACATGCAAACAGTGTGTACGTTTACAAAGCACTCGTGAAACCCGGATAACTCCCCCGTCCAGTCTCCTTTTTATCACTGATTGCGGTGTGGAGTTTGGTGTACATTTGGTGGAACTGGATCAAATAATTTGCAACCACTTAAAGCAGATACTACTGAGACACAGCAAGCACATGCATTTAAGAGCACAGAGAAAAGCCTAATAAACGCTTGAATCGGAAATGTCCTTAAATGCGTAGAAACGACTCATTATGTTCATGAAGTACAGTCCCTCGCTGCAGGTTTTTCATGGTTTTGTCTTGTGTTGTTGCATGAGGCAAAACCAGGAAACGGTGCGTTTAATTGCGCTATGGAAAAGTACTGGCAAAGTTAAGAAATGTCTTGAAAGCATCACAAGGTTTCCTCTGATCAGCAGGGGGCGATCACAGTAAAAAAACGTTTTTAATGCTTTGTAAGCGTACTCATTATTGCCAAAAATAAGCTGTTTATTATTAAGTTGTGCAATATAGTATAAATTAATTAATTATGTTTTTGGTGATTTTAAGGACGCTAATATCAGCCGCAGGGCCTTCACTAACTTCTTGCATGAATCAGTTTTTATTTTCCTTTGAGTAATTTTTGGATTAGAACAGGATTTGTCATTGGAAACGATGCATACAATGTTTTCTGAAGACATTTAAGTCATTAATTTTATCTTTTGAAATGACAACAATGCAGCTGTGCTTCTAATCAGACTCAGTTTGTGTTGGCAAAGCTTGAAAATAAATTCAGATCGATGGCAAGAGCATTTGGCTGTTCTTCACAGAAACATCCAAACATAGAATCAAAAAATACGCTGATACCTTTGTTGCTAAATGGTTACTGTATTAATCTTATAGTTTCCGTCTTTTGACAACAATCATATTTATAAGTTAATGGCCTCACTTTTTAAGGTTGTTTGCGATAAATTCTTGTTTATTTATACCGCCAGAGAATCTATGTGAGATAGTAACCATTAAATGATATCAAACAGAAGTATTTGTACTGCTTTCAGTCTGGTGTATATTTTATGATGTGACAGAAAATCAGATAATTTAGTTTATCGTATTCAGTTTGCCAAATGATTATACAAATTACCTGCACATTTAAGCAACGCTCTGTCTTGTGTGTTTTTTTTTTCTTCTTATACCAACCTTGAACCAAGAATACTTTTAACAGGATCATGACTGTGTTGCGTCCACAAGAGGGCGCTGCATCACTGCTTCCCACAGCTGTAAGAACAGACTATGTTTTTATAAACTGAAGGAAGACACGATGCTTTTCTTTACCGACAGACTGAAGAGAAAACTATACTTTTTGAATTTCTATACAAAGCAATGAGGACGAAGCTTTTGTCTCATACAGGTCTAATACTGTTTGTGAATGGGGTTGTTGCGATGGTTTATGGATAAATGTCAAACCGTGGTGTAGTACAGTCTTCACATTGTGTCTACGAAGAACACATATTTTACAGAGAAAGAGCTTGTGGTACTGAAATATTTAAGCAAATAAAAAAGATTTATCCCTTATACAATTGTATCACATTATATTGAAATTTATCATAATTCATTCTCATGTTTTGAAATAAACATCTATTTACATATTCATGCTGATGTGTGCAGATTTGTTTTAAAATGTGGCAGCTGAGTGGCTAGCATTTCTTACTCATTTAACCGATAAGCGCAATACCTCATTTCCAACACAAGATGGCGCCACGATCTCTGCTACAATAGAACACATACATGCTGGGGAAGACTTCTTTTCTGAATAATGCACTGGGAAAAAATGGCCCATTCTAACATGTGTGTTGTTATGAGAGGAAAAATCACCTTCTCTGAGCAGATGTATTATTTGTATCTAAAATAAATAGTATGTAACTGTTTGATACCATTAAAACTTACTATCATTTTGTTTATGTTAAAAATGACAGCTCATAACCATTCATCCATCCATCCATCCATTTTCTTCCGCTTCATCTGGGATCCTTCTCATCCTGATCTCGGGCAGACATTGAATTTTGCAAAGGAGCTTGTGTCATCAATCTCTCAATCTTGAACAACTTCCTAATTTATTTCACTACATTGTCATTATTTCACTAGTGTGAGGGCTGACTCCTCCCTCACAATTGGAGCTCACACTCCTGTGAGCTGACTCCACCCACTCCAGCTGAGGGTGTTACCTCCAGGCTCCACCCTATGGCCTGAACCATGGCAGGTCCAGAAGAGGGGATATTTGGGGAGATTCATTTGAGTTTATATTCTATATTAAGTATAAGCATATATTAGCATTAGATTATTATTATTATTATTATTAGTCATAGTATATTATTAGTAGTCATATTATATTACTATTAACTTTATCCTTAATTAGTTAAGTAAATGTATCTGTTTTGTGTAGTCTTGTTTACCCCCTTTAGTTAATAGTTGGTCTGATCATCCAGCTTAAATGTTCCCCTGGTGTGTCTTGTGTTAGGTCAGTGTTTGTCATGTTCAGTTGTACATTTGATTTTGGCCTCATTTATTTGTATTGTTTGGCTCATTTTTTGGCTAATTAAAAAGCCTTATTAATTAAACAGTTTGTGTGTTTCATGCTGCACCATCGGTCCCGTACAACTAGTAAAACATTGACGGAAGCCTTTCTTTTACAAACGCAGGAATAGTTGTACATGTATTTGATGATGAAGATTATTTTTGTGTGATAAATCTAATCCGTCAGCCTCACTTCAACTCCACACGCCTGCATTCTCTCCTTTTTGTCCAGTTTCATGAGCGCTGGCAGTAAAATAATCAATGGAGATGCAATGTTGAGCAAGAGTGTGTGAGTCTGAAGTCAATACAACGCCATTTCATTGTGGATATGTTTTTAATTCTGCAAGACAATATCTGTAGTTTTATCAAGTGTTTTTTTTTTTTTCTTTCAAGACAGGTGAAATTTATAAAGAGATTTAAATGACTGAATGATACCTCACCCAACAAAAGCGTGTCCAATAATGAAAATAGCAGACAACGTAAGTGGGTCACGTGTGAACTGCTGTCAGAAGGAATCTTAATCAAACTTAAAATCTCTTATGTACAGCTCTCCCTGCGGCAATCGACGTGGTTCAAGGGAAATAGTGCGTCATATAATAATGAACTGTTTTATGGATACTTTGAGAAGCAGAATTTCATCTTAGAAGGCATTGGATAAAAAATCAGCCATAATTTTGTGGGCTGAGGGTCAAACTTTTTCCTGTGTTGTTCAAAAGGTTAGTGGACACCAGGAGGGTCGAATTCCTTTTGATTGGGATTCAAATTGTCTTTTTGGCTGCCCCTTTCTACCACTATACCTCCATAGTTATGTGCTAGTTATTAATGTGTCGAGTTTGCATGTTCTCCCTGTGTCTGGGTAGGTTTCCTCTGGGTGCTCCAGAACAATAGGTCTGCTCCCATCTCTGTGTGGAGTGAGAGACAAATGCCCAAAACAACTGTAAAATGCTTTGTGACTCTGGTCTATGAAAGGTGCTATATACATAAAGATTACTTACTTACTTATGCAATATTGAACAACTTACAAATGTGGCCATAAAATTAAACAAATACTATATATTCTTTACATTTTGGGGTTATTTCGACCTAAGGATTAGTTAGGATTGAACCAAGACTGGACCAAAGGTAAGACAGGCTGAAGACGGACGGGACTTTTTTTTCTCACCCAACAGCATTTTGGGTTCCATGTTTCATTTACATTAAAATTATCTTTAAAATGATACTTGAGATGCCATGTTAGATCATGATAACGTTACACCATCAATGATGAATCCTTTGGGGTTTTTCTGATTGAAAGTGGTCTCCATTAGGGATGTCACACATGTCAAAAATCATTACTAATATTGAAACGTGACTTTCTCTGACCAGATTTATTATTTGCATCTAAAATAAATAGCGTTAAACTGTTTGATACAATTAAAACATGCTATAAAAGTGTCTTGTTGTGTGTGTTAAAACTTGCAGCTCCTAACCCAAATGTTTTATTTTTGTTTTATTTATCGAAATTGGGATTGAGCATCAAGTCTATTTCTCAGTATAGGAATCGAGTATGCAATTTGTATCGTGACAACACATTCCATAGATTGAATCTGCCTCTTTACAGGTGAGCTTAAAAGAGCATTATAGGATTTTAGAATATTTCAAATTTCAAACAACTACCCCCTACACATTATAGAACATGTTTCCACAACAACATGTCAACAACACATCAGGATGAGTGCACAATGACTTTGAGGGGATTTTTCCATAATAGATCCATGGATTTTTCTCTCTCTGTGCAGGTTTTTATGGCAGAACTCAGAGAATTTCAGTCTTGGCTGTATCTTTTGACAGCTTCAGGCATAGGGTTGGAGCAGAGTCCTTTTTTATCCAAAATCTTTCCTTTAATGCTTCTCTATGGAACATTATCAACAAAGAAATACTCACACAGACAGACAGAGACTTTGGATTATTTGTAGTCTATTCTTCTATTGTCTTTCACTTTATTCTCGTCTGTTTTGGTTGTGTCTGAGGCTCTTTGTGCGGTGAGTAAACAGGGAGGCCGTGCAACGTTGTGACTGATGACTTTATTAGCTTCCGCCAGCTGTGACCAAACCCTGGGGTATTATTGGCTGTGGTGCCTAATGTTGATAGGCCAGATGAGAGAGGAGAGGTGTGGGGGATAGCCCCCATGAGAACCAGAGGGGCTCCTTGACAACGGGGCAGGCCCAGCCATAAAAGAGGCTCCCACCCTGGTTCATTTAGAGACAGAGGTGGACCCAGAGAGAGGGGAGAGAGAGTGCTAAGGGGAAGCACGGTTGCAGGAGGGAGTAGATGGGAAAAAAGTGTATTATTTGTATTTCAATGAGATATCGCCAAAGATCGCACGATTCAGGCAGGTGGAGTTTGGGCTT